TTGGGGGGGGGGATACTTCCTCTGACATTTTACGATTAGACGCCTCCTTGTACGTCTTTATGTGCAACGTGGTCATTTTCGCCGTATTTTCGTCGAAAAAAAGCACTCTAGCGCCCAAACGGTGCAAGATAGAGTCAAACGGACAAAATTTCCGCAAAAAGAGCTCTACTTTCACGAGTTCCCCCTAAGCAGACCATAAAAAAAATATTTTTCCCTACTTTTTGAACGAACTACTATTCCTTTCTTATCTCCTTTCACCCCCTTAGAGATAGTTGCCAGGATTTGCACCGGGCGTTTCGTTGTCCAGGAGTGACCCCTAAGATACCCTGAAATTTGAAGACCTCTAGCTCATCTCCTCCCTCTTGCACGGACGACGGACAGAAGGACGGACAGACGGACACAAGAGCGGTTGCATAAGCCTGCTTTAATGCTTTTTTAAAAGCAGAAGGGCGGGCAAAAAAACATGGGAAAAAGTCAAGTCTTAAGACTGTTCGACTAACAATACTATCTAAAAACTGCGCGTGTTCATTTTTTTTAAGTCTTAAGCAAAGCAGAAGGGTCGAGTCACGGTGTTGCCCCGTTACAGTCTTTTGTCATGTCCAAGGAGCAAATTGCTAGTGCCGCAGGCCCCCCGCCGGACGCCTCAAATATGCAAAGTGATTTACCGGTCACATTATTTATTTGATTATGCACTTCAGTAAATCGCTGCCGGCAGGCCAAGCAGGCCCGGCCCCTGCCGAACGCTTTTGCCGGCGCAGCGAAGCGGAGCTGGCAACTCCGTTTGGCGGACGGGTGGGCCTGCTTGTTCATACTGAAAAGACCGTGGAGGCAAGTGATATCAGCTCGACCAATCAGAGCCGTTACACTAACAGAAACCGTTTTGGATTCTAGCAACCTATATAAGTAATATTTGAAAATCCATCGCCTAAATAACTTTCATATAAAAATGTGTTTTGTAACGTTGAGTAACTAACGCATTCGTTCGAGTTCTGATAAGTTGCGGAGCCCTGCAAAATTGTAGTTGGCCCCGCTCAAGTTGCAAAGGCTTACCTGTACTCGTACACAGTTGGGTAGGCGGCAGGCGGGAAGACTCCATGCGGCAGCAGATACATGTAGGCTCGGACGAGCATGCGGCGGCCGTCGTCGTGCCGACTGTGGCTGTAGAAGCTGTAGGCCAGCGAGATCACGTCCACGAGGGCGTGCCAAGGTGTTGGGGCTCCGTCCAGCCGGTCCAGCGTCTGCAACCAAAGAGCCTGTTTGTCAGACAATAGGGTATTTCAATGGAGCGCTGCCCGGAACTAAGAAGAACAAAACCGGATACACAGAGCGGTGGTGGGGGCGGGCGCGCGGAGGAGCGGCGGGTGGAGGGGAGCC